TATATAACTAGTAACAACATTTGGAGATTAACACTATCGTTGTTAATGCAATAACCAAATACAAGTACTTATTTAAATAAACATTAAGATCTTACAGCCAAGAAAATCAATTGGCAAAATATAAACTTGAAAGTTCACCCTCTGGCCCAAATAGCTGAAAAAAAGTGTCTACAAACCTAAGCTATGCAATAAAAGGAATCTGATTGGCTGGATGCAGGTCACATGGAGTTCTATATCCATTAAGAATCTGACTATGGTGTAAACTTGTGAGCTCCCATTTGAATTATTTTGCTATTCTAACCAGAAAAATATTTAACAATTTATTTATATATCTGCTGAAAAATCAAAATAATACTATTGTAATAATGTAAATAATAACTAGGCAATAATAATGACAAAGATAACACATCATAATAAAAAAAAAAGATATAATAAATAATCATATACAACTAACAAAAATGAGAATAAAAGATAAATACTCTCTTGATTTAAGAAAAAAAAAAAAATTTCACCTAGCATTATTGACTGAATTGAACAATGTAAACGTATCACTCCAAATATGAAAGGTTGAACCTATGGTAAAATTGTTGGTTATTTCAAAATCAATAATGTGCAGTAATAATCAGTGGGAGAATTAATACATTTCATAATAGACAGACAGCAGTTTATCAGTAACGTTTGAGAAAATTATGAGAAAATGATCCCGAGAATGAAAACGATCATGAGAATCAACATGATTTATAAGAATTGCCATGATCATGAGAATCAACATGAGAATCAACATTTCTTCGTTTTCTGTTTGATGTGAGGTTAATTTTGTTCAAGGGGGACTGTAGATAGAGGTGCATGACAACTGTTTATCCCTTCCTATTTGCTCCTTTTTATATCTTTTCTTTCTACTTTTGTTCTCAGTACAGTGATGAAGCTTAATAAATAAAATAAATAAACATTATCATGAGAATCAACGTGATTTAAGAGAATCGCCATGTTCATGAGAATCAACATAATCATGAAAATCACCCGATCATGAGAATCATGATCATTAATTAGTAATATGATTGAGAATTTTGATGATCTCCTTGTAGATATTCATGTTTCATACAGCTTTCTTTCTGTGTATTTCCATTACTTTTTTTATTAACTATTTTGTCGTTGGTTTGTCAAAGTGGGCAACTTCATATCAGCCATGCTGAAAGGGCTACACATTTAAATTTTGTTGAATAAATAAATAAATGAAATGATCATGATGATCAACATGAACAATTGCAGAAATACTGAGTTACTCAAATTCACTTATGCATTTGCTAAAGCAAATCTTAAATATTATTGGGATAAATAACTAGCTTTCTTTATTTATTTGTACTATTCTCATATTTTTCTGATATGTTGTATTTCTTATCAAGACAAGTAAATGACATATGGTCGACATGATCATGATGATCAACATGATAGGAATTTCTATCAAAATGATCATAATCAATATATGATCATATTTAATATGATAATGATGAGAATCAACATGATCATAAGATCAAATGAATCAACATAATTAAAATGAGAATCTAATTCAACATGATCATGAAAATCTAGTTGATCGTGAGAATGAACATCTTAAAATTGACATAATTTGAATCATTTTGAACATGATAATGAGATTTAGATCATGAGCATCAAGATAATCATTACAACAACCACTCATAATACTATACTCCATGAATGTCAATATAATATTCTAGTCTAACTACAAACCAAAGAATTAATATATGGTTAGTGCTAACAACCAAAGTGAAAACACAAAAAAAACTGAAGATTTAAAAGCGTACAGGAAAATACACATGTTAATAGAATAAGGGAGTTATATAGAATACAGGAAGAGTTGTTGAAGGCAAACTTCACACAAATCACATTAACATCATTCATGAAACAAATATTAACATTCAATCAACTTTTACTCACCATATGAGTGCATTTTCCACGTATGCAAAAGGGATATTAATAGGGGAGAGAAAGAGAAAAAAAAATGGTACAATGACACAGGCGGTTAGTGAGGCATGCTGTAACGTATACAAAAACAGTGTATTGTCAATGGTAGAAAAACACAGGCTTTTATCTGATGACAAGGTGATTGTATAACATATGAAAAAATCTATATTCCATACAAAATCAGCTGGACAGGAATCTGATCCTCATTAAATATGCATATGCAAATTAAGCAACCATATACAATTATGTTCACACTCACTGCACAGAGATTTACAATTAGAAAAATGATTTATTACATGCTGATAGGAGTAACTTTAAAACAATAGTAAACATTGCTGAATGTGAGGGCTAATAACTGTTATTTCAGAGAATTCCACAGAAAATACATGAACTGAAAAGGTCAATGTATAGTCAAAAGCTTGGGCATCATTTGCATCAATCTAAACAATAGGGGGAGTCCTTCAACTTAATTACCAAATGATTACTGAAAATAGGGAGAAATAACTCAATAAGTAATAAATAAAACTCAATAAATAATAAATCAATAAGGAATGAATATAAAAAATATAAAATATATCATATTGATTGTGAATAAATAATTTATGATTATGCTATACACACTAGAATTATAAAATTACTAGACTTCATATTATATTGAAGGACTTTCCTGCACTTAAGAATAAATACTCAATACCTCTACTCCAATGTGCTTTAGGCTATATGCTTGCTTATTGCAATACACATAACTTAATTTCCTACAGACTGACTGTAAATACAATACTGTGAACACACTTAAATTAAACATTACTTAATTTAATATTATACTGAACTACTTTAGGAATATTATTTCAACAATCTAAATGTAAATATTAACTAGTCAGTAATCAAAATTAGTGAGACTGTAATCTAATTAATACCAATACTATATTATGATGGTTCTTTTTTATTTTGTTTACCAAAAAAAAAAAATTAGTTGCACTACATTTATGAACACTCTATTCATTCTCTTCACACTGAAATATTGTTGAACTAGTTTACTTGGACCTTAACAACACCAAAGTTACATCATTAAGCGGATGAACTGTAACGTTGCAAACCAGCTACTAGACAAAGCGAACGAGTGCTTTTGCGAAAAATGTAGTACGCACAATAAAATAATTTGTATCTCTTTGGATTAATAAAAAATCCTTATAAAAATATTAATCTGGAATCAGATAATATATTAAAAACAATAGCAACAATAACTATAAAACATAAAATAAAAAAATAATAGTGATAACAATAATTCATAATAATACAACAATAATCATACGGCCTACATTAAAAGTAAAAAAAAAAAAAAAAAATCCCAACCACTACAATAATAATAATATTAGTAATACAATTTTTTTCTTAACGTACAAGTACTTACATTTCAAAACCAATGTGTAATGTATTTATATAAAAACATTGTTTAATCCGAGTTACTGCAAAAGCAACTTACATCTAATGAATTAAAATATCAAATAACTTACAACACAATATGCAGTCTAATAATAAAAATTCAAGTAGTAATAATCTAAAACAGCTATTAAAAAGTAGGTCAACTACTCACCAAATAATACTTAACATATTTCCAAGAAAAAATATAGTATTTATTAAATCATTGAAAGTATCGGAGCTTACCGCAAAGAGTCGAATAATAACCTCATACTAATTAATAAGCAAAACACGCCAAACGTTATGTTTTTGTTAAGCGCCTCTCTAAAATATGTGACTTAAATGCTTCTTAGAGATATACTCTATTTGGATCAACGTCACAGCGCTTAATTGGAAGCACATATTTTCATATGTTCTTTATGTTTCACATCATAGGGACACCATAAGTAACTTATTTAACAAATAATAATACTACTAACATTGCAACATTTCAGACAAATACCATATGGAACTGTTTAAACATTCAGATAATTTGATATAAGTACGCCTTCGATTAATCACTTTTTGTCAATAGGGGTCACACTGAAGCCTCTGTCAATTTTATTTTATATTGAAAAAGAAAAACACAGAATAACAGCTTTGTGATTAAATCAACAATAAGAAGTAATTACAACAATTAAAATAAAATATAGTTTGTTAAACAGAATAAACAAAAATAATTGTCTAAATTTATTAAGCTTTGAAAAAATATAATTTGTAAGTAAAACAATAAATTTAGAAAAAAAAACCATTACTTGGCATATTAACTTATTTAACAAAATAAAACATCAACAATTTTTGTTTTATGTGTGAAAGTGTGATAATGATATGGATATAAACAAAATTATTTATTTTCTTGTCATATAATCAACTTAAATCATAATGGCTTGCACCACATTCTTCAGAATCAGTTTGATACCCTCATGTCAAATCAAATAAAAAAAATATTCTAATTAAAAAGACAGTAAGTTGTTTATCACAAACTTGACTGTTAGATTTATTTTACAATTCATCGAACACATATAATGACTGACGATTCTTAAATTGGAATTGCTCAACATTAAGTGAAAAATTAATATCTCATATTTATCTTTTTTGCCAGGTAATGTATTTTTAGGTGTGAATCAGTGCGGAATCCTGCAGTACTTCTATTTAAATGGTAATTTTCATTTAATGGAAACAAAACTGTTTTGGATAATTTATAAGACAAAATATCAAAATATTCAATAAAATCCAAAGATGGTTTATGCTGTAAAGCGAAAATGGATTGATGATGATGAAAGATGTTTTACATATTGATTTTAAAATTCAATATAATGTTTTCAATTTTAAAAAAAATTCAAACACAGAAAAATTTTAATATTTTAAAAGATTATATATTATATTTTAATTTGTTGCCTTGCATTCATCAATTAAAAGACTGTGTTGAATGATCTGCAAATTAATTTTCCCTTTGCAAGAGCTGTCTCTAAATCAAGCTAATTAAGATTGACCAATCAGATTGCAGTATGATATGAACCCAAATGACCCTAGATGAAAAAATTGACAAGAGTACTCACATTCCTTTACTTTATGAGTTGTAACAGGTAAATCTGGGGCCTGAAAAAAAACATACATATTATATCATTAGAAAATTAATAATAAACAATAAATAAACAACCAATAAACAATAGAAATAATAAATAAATAATATTATTATTATTATTACTGTAGTAATAAAAAGCTTTAAAGTATAAATACCAATTACAGTACAATGAACACAAAAGAGTAATAAAATGAATAAGAATGACAAACATGCTAACATATTATATTAACATAAAAGTCTACAAAAATGTAGGGATTTTTGCATTTTTGCAGACTATAAAATTAAAAGTGCATATTCTTAAGGTGAGGTTTACAATGCACCCTCAATAATCATCACAAAAATCTTCGAGTAAACGAATGAATGTCCTGGCAGCTAAATACACTGCCACCGTATTGTATTATTCAGTACTTTAATTTCCTGCTTTGACTATGAACAAGTCAATGACCAAGGCCATTATTACAATTCTGGTGTTTTTACATATTAATGTCAATATTAAATAATGATCAAAAAAGATGGTTTGCGGGACTAATTTATGAGATTAAAATATCATCTATTTTATTTTTAAAAAAAAACTGTATTATAGATTTTCCACCACCACCGCTATAAATATTAATGCCAGAGTGATGTTATAGCCTGGTGATTAAGATGCTTATTTTCAAAGAGTCCTATGTATTTTAATCTTATCCAATGCCTTCTTTCACGTGCATATAGACCCAACAGCATAAATGCATCTACAATCTATGTTATATAATTTTAAAAAAAGCAGCTATAAGAGAATAAAAGTAGACACAAATATCTCCATGGTTACTACCAGTTGCTGCTCTCTGTAAAGCTGGTTGTTCACTGCATCCAATGGTTGTTTGCCGACGTGATTTTATACAAAACGCAACACTATGACGCGTGCGCAACAAATCGTTTTAATGACAATCTGTTGAGACTGCCAACAACATCAGCAGATGGTGTGGCGTTGTCCAACGCTCCCAGTGAGCAAAGTTGGATTCGCCAGCTGACAGGTCATAAGACTCAGTGTGGTCCTAGCTTTAGACAAGAAGAAAGTGAAATGTTGATTTTTACTTACTCTCATGGTGTCTGGCGCTTGTACCTGTGCTGTCGGTCTCTTGGTAAAATTAGGCTTAGTGTGATCAGGGTCACTACCGGAGATAAGCAGTCTGCTTTCCAAGCCCTCCTCATTCTCTTCATCCTCTTCTTTTTGGTAACACTGAACTGTTGGTGTTTCTTCAGAGTCATTAGAAACGTAGTCATCTGGTAATGTTACTCGCTGACGTAGCCGTGCCAGCTCTAATTCACGTTTTCTATCAGGGAAGAAAAATGATATTTTAATGATTAAAATTATGTTGTCATGTTGGAATGTTTGGAGGTTCAAGCTCTTATCCTTGAGGTTGAAGGGATCAAATCCCATGCTATCCATCTTGCTTTTGTCCTTGGGCAAGCCACTTTATCTACAGATGTTTCTCTCACACCTGAGTATGTACCTGGCAATAGTCTCCAAGGTACTGGTTTGTGGCAGGATAGCAGGGATTGGAAGAGGAAGTTTATCAATACGAATTCAAATGACCAGGGATATAACGACGACACAAATCCTCACATTGTAAAGCTGTAGCAATATCAAAAGTTTTATGAGACCAATAGTATTTGATGACATCATCATGCCCATATATGGGCAAAACCGATATTTGTCATAGAAACGTGGGGAGAGATTATAAGGCACTACTTAAATACTCTATATTTATCTTCATCATACTCCTTTATTTTGTATAAACCTTAATTTGGTATATCAGCTACTGAGCATGAAGTGGTGTTGATTAATCTGCAAGCGAGCACACTAAATGTTTGAATGAAGAAAAAAAATGATGCTCAAGTAGTTAAAATTAACCTGAAATAACGTTTTTCTAAGCTCTCTCCCCCTCACCTAATCACCGTTCCCCCACTTCACCTTCGTGCCCCCACATAAGCTCATGCATTTCAAGAATACAAGATACTGTACACCACTGCTGCTATACCCCTCCTCTTGAATATTGTTGCAAAGGTCACACAAAACAACAGCTTTAATGTACAAAACTTGTGGGAGATGCACACTCCTGGTCTTTTTCTAACTTTTGTTAAGTTTGTTTAACATTCTAGAATGGTACATTCCCTTTTTTCTTTCTAAATGTAATTATTATAAGTTACTGGTACTGTAAATATTTTTTTTTCTTCTATTAAATACAACATTACCTGTAATAACAGTTTAGCTACTTGTTAAACTATATTCCAAAAAATCAATCATCACTGGCTGCTGTGCCTAGCTTTAATGTTCTCTAGCGCTAGTGCTCTAAGACATTGTTGTATAGAGTGCTTTAAAAATGCTTGTTTATTATTATTATTATTATTTTATTATTATTATTATTATTATTATTTTATTATTATTATTATTTTATTAATGCAATTGAATCTAGATTAGAATAGCACGGAAAATACAGTGAAAGGTTGAACAGTCAAAGAAATTCAAATACTCAATTTTATCTTTCAAATTTAAAAGTTTTACACAAACAGTACATCTTTAAAAATGCACATTAGACTCCTAAAATTTCAAGATGGTATACTATAAGATAAAAGCACATACTTACATAGTGTTCTGGGCACAATAAGAACACATAGTGCAATGTACGTATCAAAGAAGAGGACCATGAAAAGAGTTAATACACAACAGAGCTTAACAAGCGTAAGGCAGTACTACCAACTTAATCACAAGATAACAACCCTCAATAAGAATGTTTTCTCAGGCCTTCCAACTCCCAGAAGAACCAAACACGCAGTATTGTTTTCATCGTGTAGACGCGTCTATAACAACGTAGCTGAGACTCGTATAATTTGGTTATTACTCCTGCCTATTGTCAGAATCAGCTACGACAAAGAAAACTCCAATCTCACTAAATAAATTAATATCAGGAAATTGACCTTGTTGCCTGGTTCATAGTCAGCTCTTATAATCAATAGACAGATTCAAGCTCACTTCATTTGAATAATGCTAACACATTCAAGTTCTGGCAAACACTGTGCATATATATCACTTCACCTGTATTAATTATAATTTAAAGTGTCCTACAAATTTTTTTGTTTTGTTTTAAGGATGAAGGATTTGTAATCTATTTAATTGCTTTATGGATATTATGTTTTATACGTACATCACACATTTTCATTTGAATAAATTACAATTAAGTTAAAAGTCTGTTTATGATGGCTTAAAGTTCACTTGAACAGGATTTTCTTTTTTGTATGTTTAATATTATTACTGTCAATTCTAAATGAAGAATATGCATATTGAAATTGAAGTAAAATATTATCATGAATAAAAAAATACCACTCTCCAATGTCACACACATTTAAATGTGAAAAATAAATATAATAAATTAGAATAAAAACACCTTTAATTACTAGAATTTGAAAGCCTGCTCAAATTATTTCTCCCCATTAATGGATAAAATTTGCAAAATCATTTTATAAATGAGTCTCTATGTTGTGTTGTTCGTTTGTTTTTTGGTTAGCTTAGGATAGATCTTGGGTTAGTTTTTCCTTTTTTTCTTTTCAGTTCACTCAGCGCATAGAGACCTCGGCATTATGCGCTGTAAAGGAAAAGAATCAGATGTAGAAGTACACACCTTATTTTGGCATTAAAATATAAACATAACTAATATTATCTGTGACAATGTTAAGATTTGTTTTTATAATAATATTATTAATACAATTATAAATTTAACAAAACCTTATAATTTGCTTCATGGTTGCTTCTAGATGGGAGTTTGTTGGTGATCCGCAACTAGTGCGGATCACCTCTGGTTATTGTCAGGATCATCATCATCATCATCATCATCATTTTCTTTTTTGGTGATCCGCTACACTAGCGGATCACCTCTTGTTATTGTCAGAGATCTTCTTGTTTTTTTCCCATTTCTTGTTAGCACGATATCTAAAAATTGGCACGAGATTCATACATGCACGCTTCAACAAACATTTAGCTTGGCCTGGAATAGACATGGTAAGGTTTTCAAGGTGACCAGTCATGCGTGACGTCAGCTACGCGCAATCTTGCGTTTTTACATTATCGATCATATCAACCCAACCATTTGCTATTTTGAAATCGTATTAAGTGAGCATTAACTTCAGGTCAATGTTGAATGTACTGTATCCTAATTTTACGCGTGCGCTTCATAACGCGTGCGTATGCGTGCGTCAAAATTTCAAAATGCTCGAAATCACTTTTTGACTATATTAGAGCACGTTACACGCCATTTTGGACATTTCAAACTTTTCCGAAATTTACCATTACGCATGCGCATTTTTACGAGCGCAGCACGTACGGAAGCTAGAAATTAAGTTTTTGTCACATTTTCGGTTCCTGACATTGTTTTTACAAGTTTCCGATCTCTTCAATTATTATTATGGCCAATAACAAAGCCGTACGCACGCATCAAACATAGTGAACTTTGTGCACATTTGTGCCGATGTCAGTGAAATTTTACTAAAATGAGGCCTAATTTTAAACAGTTACAGCTCTTTAGGATGAAAGGTGACCCCCAATTTTTATTAAATATTCTGAAAGCACATGAGTTGTAAATATGATTTTCTAGCTCATAATGGCCGATCGGACGTTGTGACATCATCATATTCCCATCTGAATTCAACAAACTGAATTTTATCGATGACATCATTTTTTAAAATACGCATTTGGGCGTATATTGCTTATTCTTGGTCGATCGTTTTCCAACTTTGAGTATGTTGTAGCTGAGGCAATTCTCTTTGATTATGTGACTTCTTTTCACATTTTGATGATGTCATCAGGGTCAAAATAAAGGTTTTTGATGACCCCCTCATCTTTCTTTCCTCAAACATTTAATGACCTCATAATCAACTTAACCAGTCGTGATTTCTCAATGATATTTAGTGGGCATAAACTTCAGGTCACGGTTAAATGTTATGTACCTTAATTTCCTGTGCGCGCGTCATAACGCGCGCGTACGCGTGCGTCAACATTAAAATGTGCTTAATATCATGCCTTTTTTCAATCAGTTATAGCTCCTTAGGATGAAAGGTGACCCCCAATTTTTATTACATATTCTAAAAGCACGAGTTGTAGATATGATTTTATATATCATAATAGCTGATCGGACATTGTGGCGTCACCATATTGCCATCTGAATTTTAAAATAAAATTTATATATGATAAATATTATGAATGATAATTATAATGATAATTAGGATCACCTAACTCGTCCTCAGTGACGAGTTCAAATCTAGTTTTGTTTGTTGTTAAATTTTATGTGCCCTTTTTATGTCCCTTATGTACTATTTGAATTTCTCTTCCCCTTGGTGGGATTTTCTTGAATAAATTGAATTGAATATAGAGCATTTAATATATTGGGTATACATTATGTATAAATGTATGTAATATGTTTTTTCTGTCTGTCTGGTAGCAAGATCAGACAAAAACGAAGGAATGGGTCACCATAAAATTTAGTGGAATGGGGGGGGGGGGATGGTGTCAGTGGCGGACCGTAGGGTAAATTCCAGGGTATGCTGGGTATTGGCATAGGCCTATTTAGGGTTTACGAGGGGCGCGCACACACACCCCTCCCCATGAAAAAAATTTCCTTACCTACAAATCATGCTCAAGTAGTTAAACGTGACTTCAAATCACCTTATTTTGCAAGTTATCCCCTCACCTAATCACTAATCCTCCACCTTCCCACCCCCATCAGCTCCCTTCCATTTCAAGCCCCTACGCCGCTGATGCTACAGTAGGGCCTGCTAGTAGTAGAAAAAATTTCGTAAACCTACTACTACTATACAGAATTAGATTGTGTCCTATAGTCAAAATACAAATGTATGTTATTGTTAATACCTGCATGGTCTGTCTCTTATACACATCTAGATGTCTATAAGCGACAGACATTTCCAATGCACACACTTGGACAACAGTCATTATATATAAGTTATATAATCAGTACATTCTCGACTGTCATGAAAATATACATCTAAAAAATTACGTTATAGGCATGCTCGGAAGCGGAAATTTATGTTTCCCTATGTTTCATGTTGTTTGTTGAATGGTCTTTAGTGATATTATATTCTAATATGACATAAGGAAGAACACTTTGTCACCTACAAAGTTCAGACATTTATATTTCCTTAGGCCTAAACCATAAGGATGTCCGCTCTATATCCAAATTTCAGGAAATTATACGTTTTATGCATGCTCCGACGTGGGAATTTTGTTTTATGTTGTTTGCTGAATGGTCTTCTTTAAAAATATAAC